TTTTTTTTTTTTTTTTAGTTGTAGTTGTCATTGTTGTTTGGCAGGCTCAGGCTGGATTTGAATACGCCAGCTACAGTGTATGTGGCTGGCACCCCAGCCACTTGAGCTATAGGCACAGAGCCCAACTCTAACTTTTCTTAAAGCGAAACAAACCTCTGCCTCTCTCACCCTAGCCTGACAAAGCATTCACAGAAGAATTCCCTTATCTTCTCCCCACTAAATCTATGAACTCCTGGTAGTGGCTAAACAAGAGTCATACCCCCACTTCTATAGGGTGCCTTTGGCAATTACCAGGACTCCACTCCCCCTTACCTTCTCAGGGACTTCACTTCTTTGGACATCTGTTTGTTCTTTCTCCTGTATGTATTCCCAAGTTCTCTTTCCCAACATCACCCCCATACCCCAGACTTCAGGCCCTCCTAGCTAACAATACTATTTCTATTCTTCCTTTTTGAAAGGGAGTTAGACTTCCTTCTGGAAAAAAATTAGGCAAATTTGCCATCTCCCCTTTCTTATTTACCCTTCATTTTCAATTCACTCCAATCTGGGTTCTGCCAGCACTGATACTGCGCTTGCAGATTGCCAATGACCTCCATGTTGTCAAATTCAATGGACACTTTTCAGTTTTCATCTTAATAGGCTGCCCCAAAGCACTCAATCCAGTTTACTAAATCAATTTTCTTGAAAAAACCCTCTTCTTATAGTTGTGACAGTCCTCTCCATGGTTTTTTTTTTTTTTTTTTTTTTGCTTTCTCTCTGAGCCTTCTCTTCTATAAAAAACCACTAAAAGTTAGAGTCCCTCAGGGCTTAGTCCACTACCTTTTTTGCTCTATATTCTCTCCAAATTGAGTTCCCAAGGCTTTTAATTCTATGCAATTTCTATTGCTATCAACCTAGTACTGTCAGTCAACTACAAAAGCCACCTAACTGGTCTCCAGATCCCACATTTGTCCTACTTTTCCTTGTACAGAGCATATTCTTTCCCCCAACCCCAAGGCATTGGAACCACATTCTAATTTAAATGATGCTCCCAATGCTCACCATTTCCTCATAACCTCTTCTTCATTTTCCTTCGTGGCATTTGTGACAATTTTTAATACAAAATAATTATATGCTATTTAACATGTCTCAACCATGACATTATAAGCTTCAGCAGGGCAGAGTCCTCTTGTTTAATTATCTTCAGTAGCTAGTACCTAGAAATTAATAGGGACTCAATACCTATTTGCTGGCTATTTCAGCAATAAATATCATTTATAAAAGCACACTTAGTTTTTTTTTTTTTTTCTGTAGAGACAAAGTCTCACTTACCACCCTCAGTAGAGTGCCGTGGCGTCACACTGCTCACAGCAACCCCTGGGCTCAGGTGATTCTCTTGCCTCAGCCTCCCAAGTAGCTAGGACTATAGGCAACTGCCACAATGCCCTATTTTTGTGTTGCAGTTTGGCTGGGGCCAGGTTTGAACCCACTACCCTTGGTATATGGGGCCAGTGCCCTACCCACTGAGCCACAGGCAGTGCCCAAAGCACACTTAGTTTTTAGAAGAGACTGTTTTCCTCCCAGTGGCAAAAATAATTCATCATACATGATACCTGATGGACTTGGCCACTAGAAGATATCCTTTCTACTTTCCCCCAGTGGAATCCCCAGTACAATAATCAGAGGCCAGGATGAAAACTAAGGCTTCTCGTAAAGGATCTGGCTCCAAGGGAAGTAAGAGTTTTGTGAAAGAGACTAGCAGATGAAGACTCTATTATTCAATTTTTTATAAAAAAAAAAAAAAAGCACATGCATTTTAAATTTTGTTTATTCAATACAGTAGCAATTAATATGCTGAGCAAGTATCAGTGCTAATGGAACACTAGTGTCTTACCAACTAAAAAATATTTAAAGTGTTATTTATGTAAATAAACATAACTCATTAGGTTGGGAGAAGGGGTAACTCTTTTCAGTCTCAGATCCTCTCTTCAGTGCTAACTATTCTCACAAAACATACATGAAGAATAATGGTTATATGGCTATTCCCTTAAAAGTACTTTTGCTGCCCTTAATCTGCAGAGCTTTAATTTTATAATTTCCAAATTAAGTACATCACTTCCCCAAATCTAAAAGTACTGTAGCACAGCTCTGCCTAACTCCCAGAACTGAGGCTTGAAAGGGTGGTGTAAAAAGACTGCAGTCAGAATGCCAACTCACCAACATACAAGGGCACGCCCCTTTGCAATTTTCTATTTGAAAAAGACAGGAAAAGAGGATAGATAATTCAGAAGAGTTTAATAGTAATGCTACTTTTATTTTTCAAATTCTCAACTTCTGTCCCATTATCTTCTGCAAATCTCATCCCTAATCTCAAATATTTACCAAAACCGTGGTTCTGGCAAATGCCATTCATATTTATTGTAGAGTATGTAAAAAGGAACACAGGACCCTTAGTTTGAGCTAACAAACGTAAAAACTGTCAAGTCTCTTCCAAGGTTCCAGGGACTGCAGACAAAGAAGTTTAAAGTCCCATAAGCACTTTACCAACTGTGGAAGCAAAGTGGGGCAAACTGGACTGTCTCAGCACCTTTATCAAACAACGTATAGCAAGCAATGAAAAGAGCAACAATTCTGGGCTTGAAAAATACATTTGACTCGGATCCATGGCATAAGAGGCTAGACAGAAAGGAAAGGGAGTGAAAACATGAGTTGTCTCAAGATACAAGGCAGGGAGTGAGGGCAAATAAACCTGGACGCTAACACTCGGGACCCCAGAACTTCCCTCCGCCTTACGAAAAGATCGAGAGCACAGAGATGCTTTCCCCAGCGCTGAGAGCTGCCGACCAGACTCGCCTCCCGGGGCGGGTCAGCTCTCAGAGCCTCAGCCTCTCGGGCCCCCGGCAGCCCGAGTTACCTCCGGTGATGAGGAAGTAAGACACCACCACCAGAGCGTACACCGTCATGGCCGACGGCATGTGCAACCAGGGCGGCTTCTTCAGCTTCAGGTTGGGACATTCGAGCACTAAGAACGGGACTCGGTACAAAGTCTCCATGTTGGTGGCAGCCGGGGCAGCTCTGGGCCTGGAGCCCCACGCGCCACCCGGAAACAGGCCCGCCTTCTGTGATTACTGCGCGTGCGCGGGGAAGGGAGCCGCAGATCCGCAAAGCTCGGAGGTAGTTTATACACCCATCGGAGAAATTAAGAGCCTAAATAAAACGAATAAATTATAGGAGAAATATCATTAATTAGCTAATCTTAATAACCTGAAATTGGGATAGAAACTCAATTTGTGGCCAACAGCTCTGAAAGTGGTTTATATACCTTCAAGGACCTGCAGGGCTTCAAACGTGGCCAAGCCGGAGACGCGGACACAGCTGACCCCGTCTGAGCCCCTCCCACTTCCTGACGCAGGGGGTGTGAAAGCTGATTGGATACGAGACGCTCTAGTTTCCCAGAGCTGGAGGATGAATGGGAACTCTTAGAAAGCGCTGCCTTTTCTGTTGGCGGTTCTTTCAAGGGATTGAGAAAGCCCTACGTTGTTGAATTTATACTTCCCGATGTAGTAGAAGCGGTGATAATAACAATTATTAATTGACAAAATAATATGTTACCATTTTTCTTTAGATCCAGGCTGGACCTGTCGCAGATATCCACAAGACATCTCCGCAGGGGATGCCTTACTGCTGATACCTGAGCATAAGATAAATACTGTTCTGAATAACCCTTGCCTTGGTTTCAGCTTTGCTCCTATCCTGGTCATCCCTTTGTTGGTACATGGTAAAATCACTCAGACCGAAAAATCTTGAATTCATTCTGACTTCTTTCCTTATTAACCTTCTGCATCCAAAATATTAGCAGATCTTTTTGGCTGTACTGACAAAATGCCTCTAATTCATTTATTCCTCTCCATTCCACCGCTGGTGTGGGCCACCATCAACTCTGGCCTGGGCTACATTTACAATCCAAATAGATTTTTTTAAAAATCAAATAACAGAAAATTCGTCTTTGGAGATGGATTAGATGTTCTAAGAGGTTTTTTGTTTTCTATTTTGTTTTTGTTTTTTATATAATCTTTCGAGACTTTATAAATGTCAATTTTCTTTTGGAGCAAGAGTGACTGATTATACAAAGCGAGAACATACTGACACATTATTGTGCCAATGTTTATATATTTTTATTTGTTTATTTCTAAGCTGATGATTTTTTTACAGGATGCCATGAACTGGTTCTGCACTTTTAGTTAGTTCATGACTCAATTATTGAGAAATTGTCTGAAGACCATAATCATAAAAATATTTACAAACATTGTAGCATATAATCCTGAGTACAGATGAGGCTCGCTGTTCTTACTGTTCATTAGTGTGATCTCCTCAGATGCTTATTCACCAGTTTAAGGGGGTACATGAATCTGAGGTTATGTAGGGCCTAGTAATAAAGTTAATAAAGTGGATTTACACTAGAACCAGCAACCAGCTTTTTTTTTTTATTGTTGGGGATTCATTGAGGGTACAAGAAACCAGGTTACACTGATTGCATTTGTTAGGTAAAGTTCCTCTTATGATTGTGCTTTTTTTTTTTTTTTTTTGAGAGTTTTGCTCTGTTGCCCAGGCCAAAGTATTGGTGGCACAATCATAGATAGCCTTGCTGCAGCCTCTAACTCCTGGGCTCAAGTGATCTCCTACCTCAGCCTCCAGAGTAGCTAAGACTACAGGCGCATGCCACCGTTCCTTGCAAATTTGTTTATTTTCTGTAGAGACCAGGTTTATTATGTTGCTCAGGCTGGTCTTGAATCCCTGACCTCATGGGATCCCTCCATGTCTGCCTCCCAAAGTGCTGGAATTACCATGCCTAGCCTCAAAACCAGCATTAATATGTAGGAAGTTTCTTCATTTTGAAAATTTTCATAGTTTTATAAAAAAGCAAAACTTTGGAACAATTAAAAAATATGTTGATTTTACGACAGGTGCAGTGCCTCATGCCTGTAATCCTAGCACTTGGGGAGGCTAAGATGCATGGATTGCCCTGAGCTCACAGGTTGGAGACCAGCCTAAGCAAGAGCGAGACCCCCATAGGGCATTGTGGTGGGTGCCTGTAGCCCCAGGTACGTGGGAAGCTGAGGCAAGAGAATCACTCCCAGTCCAAGAATTTAAGGTTGCTGTGAGCTATGACTCCATGGCACTCTACTGAGGGCGATGTAGTAAGACTGTCTCAAAAAAAAAGAAAAGTTGCTTTGAAAAAATAAAGAAAAACATAGGAATTAAAGTTTTGAAACTTCCTTTATAACTTCAAAAAGGAAATTAACCCTAATTAACCATTCATTGGCTTGGCAGAGTCTACCATAAAGTGATTTTTATTCATTCTTATTTAATCTTCATGATAATTCTATTAAGTAACTATAAGTGTCACCACTTTTCATTTGATAAAATTGAAGCTTAGGAGGTGAAATAAACTCAAAAAGTATAGTATGGTCTGCAATTGAATTAAAAGGCAAATTGTTATAAAAGGAAAATGGATTTAAGGTGTTTAAGATGGTACACATTTATATACTTATCCTTCTTCCTACATATTCTGGGACTAAATAATTCTATATATACTGTAGGAAAAGACATAAAAATTATTAACACATAAATTTTTAGCAAAAATTTATTTCATAAAGAATAAAACTGCCAAATCAGAACACATCACATTTATCTATATATTGAGTTATTAATCTCACTTTCTTATCTGTGTTCCAAAAAGTAAATTTGCTCCAGGAATTGATTCATTATTATATTTTAACATCTTAAACTTTGTAATATTTTTCCACTTAAGTTTGTAATATTTTGTACAAAAGAAACCTTTCATGAGTAAGATATGCACATCTGTTAGCACCCATGTGCTAACCGGCAATTCCTAAACACATTCAACTCTATAAGCTAAAAAACAAAGCAATAATAATGAATATAGCCTGGGCATTAGAGCATGCCCTTAAACAGACATACAATCTATTTATTCCATGGGTGGCTATTTTTGTGTAGATGAAGAAGGAAAAATGTTTGAAGAAACAAAGATTTAGGACAAAAGTTCAGTACAGCCTGTCATCTTAACCTACACATAAAAGCTAAAATTAGGCTCTGCACCTGTGGCTCAAGTGGCTAAGGCGCCAGCCACATACACCTAAGGAGGCGGGTTCGAATCCAGCCCAGGCCCACCAAAACAACAATGACAGCTGCAACCAAAAAATAGCCAGGCATTGTGGTTGGCCCCTGTGGTCCCAGCTACTTGGGAGGCTGAGGCAGGAGACTCCCTTGAGCCCAGGAATTGGAGGTTGCTGTGAGCTGTGCTGCCACAGCACTCTACCCAGGGGGATAGCTTGAGGCTCTGTCTCAAAAAAAAAAAAGCTAAAATTAGTATTTTTACTATACAAAAGCAAATACACAGTCAGAAAAAGAAAAAAAAGCATAAAACTGGTAGCTACCAGGATTTTTGTGTTTAATGTAGAAAATCTTAATAAAAAGCCTTGAAGTCAGGAACAACTCTGCCAGTAAAAAGAGAAGGAAAACTCTAAAAATAAGTTTAAGTTTTTAACTAAGTTCTAAACAAACTAGAGCTACAAAAGCTATTAAATACTATTGACTTCAGTTTATTTAAATACAAACTAGGGAGGAAATTAGTAGCTTTGTTTTCTGTAGGATAGTAACATATAATATTAACTCAGATTTATTTACTAAGACATTTTGCAGAGTGGTTGACAATCTCTTAAATTATGTTTTTTCCTATGAGGTTCTGTATAGGCAGGAGAATTTTTGTCTCCTCAGTTTATCAGGTATTTATTGAGTTGTAACTTTGTGCCAGGCAGTGTTATGCACTATTACATCTCACAATCTAAATACAAACTCTTCTAATGAAATATTGTGGGGTTTGTTATTGTGTGGTTATTTCAAATTCTGAAAATTGTCTTTGAAATTATGTAAGTAGGCCAGGCACGCCTGTAATCTCAGCACCTTGGAAGTCCAAAGCAGGAGGATCACTCAAGGCCAAGAATTTGAGACCAGCCTGAACAACATAGCAAGACCCCAACTATAAAAAAAAATAGAAAAATTAGTTAGTGTGGAGGTGTGCACCTATTGTTCCAGCTAGTTGGAAGGCTAAGGCAGGATGATTGCTTGAGCCCAGAAGTTTGAGGTTACAGTGACCCAAGACGCCACCAAAGTACATGCTCAGTGTAAAATTAATTAATTAATTCAAATAATGGAGATGCGTATAGAAGAACTTTCCTCTCATCACTGTTCTCACTTCAGTTCTGGAAAACACAACTGAAATAAATATACTCAGCCAATGGAAGAATTCGTACATTGGTTTCCCAGGGATCTTGTGGTTGGAAAGTCTAAGTGTAACTAGCAGAATTGCTTTTACCTGTGGAAGCAAAACATCTAAAACAACACAGAGATTGATGCACCATCGAGGACTTTACAGATGCCTAGTGGTGATTCCTACTACATTCTACTCAATTAGTCAATTTGGCCCCTGCAAAAGAAAGATGGATCTGGAGAACAGTGAATTATTGTAAACTTAATCATGTGGCAACTCCAATTGCAGCTTCTGTTCCACTTGTGGTTCTGGTGCTGAAGCACATCCCTTGCCACCTGTTGATCTGACAAATGGCTTTTTTAGTTATACTTGTTGGTAAAGACCATAGAAGACATTTGCTTTCCACTGGCAGAGTCAGCAATATACCTTCACAGTCCTATTTAAACACTGTATCAATTCTCCCCTATGTCATAACTGGATTTGCAGGGACCTTAATTGCCTTCTCATTCACAGGATACCGCACTGTGTCACTGCATTTATGATGTGGTTATTAGAGCTACTGATTTAAGTAGCAACTACACTAGACACATTGGTTGGACATATGCATGCTAGCGACTGGAAAATAAGCCCAATAAAATGCAGGTGTTCCTCAGTGAAATTTCCAAGGATCCGCGGATCTGTAACACCTAGGACATTGCTTCCAAGGTGAAGAATAGTTGGTGCTTCTGACTTGCCCTTCCATCAAGAAAGACATACAATGCTTAGCATACCACTTACGGTTTTCTATAACTCATTCATACTATTCCGACCTTATATACTGAGT